CATCGCTACTATAAAGTTAGACACAATTTCGTATGACGTTGTTGCTATTTACCGTATTTGTTAGCTAAAAAAAATTACCGTGTGTTAAATGAATAATTCAAACTGAACAAAAGAGCTTCATAACAAGAAAGACTTACAAAAGTACAAAATTTGCAGCTCGGTAAGTTTAAAATAAACCTGGGCATTTACTAAGAGAAAATCTCATCGTATAAATCTACATGGTCCCGAAGTGCGAGCGAATTTTCGGTTACATTTTCTTCATAACAAGCGTCTAACTTCTTCTATGGCCTCAGAACTTATATTGTTCTATCGGAAAATTATTGTAAGTGCTGCAGTTAGCCGACCGTCAGTCTTTTGAACTAGATAAGGGTTTTTCTTGTTACTAGTTCATGTGCAGTTATTTCCAGTGTACAATCGAGCGAACTTGTTGAAATGTTATTGCAGTGAGGATATTTGAATGATTTATTTGCGCTCTGAACTTTAACAGAATATTTCGGTATGAAACTGAAGTATTAAGAGAAAAGAACTTTACATTTTCCAATTCAAGTAATTCATTCAAGAGCTTCATTCGCAGCTTCAATATTCAGCGGACAAGAAGGCGCTCAGGTGATCATCAATATAATTTCTGGCGCTTAATGTCACGTGTAATGTAGCTTAAAATGAAAGAAAAAAATCGAAAATATTTACTCATTTGAAAATTAATCCCAGATGCATATTGCTGGTGCTTTAGCCAAGGTTGGTAATAAAAATAAGAAAAACTAAAGCGCCCGCGGGACTTATTATGACATATATAATATAAAAAAATTTCGCCAGAAAAAAAAATTTCCCCTAATATTCAGCTTTATTCAAACAATATGAGAAAAAAAATGAAATTTTGCCGTGACGAATGCATGTGACACGACTTTCTTTCTATTTAGAATGACGTCGCTCTCTGCGGGCTGTGCTTCACTAAGAAAACAAATCTGGTACTCTGTTGCCTTAACGCCTTGCTTGAGCCAAGGAAATTACGTGATATTTTTCACGTAATTTAAATACGTTGGAGGTGTTCTGCGAGAAAAATGAAGGTTCCAAGTTTGCAAGGAGCACGACGACACATGGAATTGCCGACAACGTTACGTTTGACTAGGGACATATAAGAATGTTAATGTTCTCTCTGTTCTATTTTATGCAGGGAAAATTGCCTACGAACTTTGTTGGTTGTATAAGTTATGCGGAGAGTTTGTCGTTGCCACTACACCGCCGCATGTCATTTGCAGTACGAGGTAAAATAATTAGATCTGCCTTTAATATATAATTTATCACTATGTTGATTGGGGTAAATAGAAGATAAAAATTTATGTTCATTGGCAAAAATATTAAATGGAAAGCGTTCAATTAACGCTTCCATTTTTGGGGGTGATACTAATCTGATGCGGTTTACCCAGGAATTTTCTCAGCCATAACAATTGTGAATGAACTATAAACAATTGCTGCTTACTTCCCTTTAACCCAGCTGCCTGATCATATCAAACGGGCACCGGATACGTTCGAATTTCCGCATCGACAGCAAATGGGCTTTTGTTCTTTTGCTTATCCTATGCAGTCTATGGCAAATAAAATGCAGAACAATATCCATCATAAAACCATTTATTAAGAGAAATCTTGAAAATGCTTGATTCATTGGTTCATGAAGCGATGGGACAAAAATTCTCTATTAAATTCATAAAACCATTTAATGAGAGAAAATTTGAAAATGCCTGATTCACTGCAGCTGGTATTGAAATAATGGGATAAAAAATTCCCTATGAAATTCACAAACCATGTAGCGAGAGAAAATTTGAAAATGTCTGATTTACAGGTACATCAAATAATGGGGAAAAAATTCCCTATTAAATTCATAAAACCATTTAATGAGAGAATATTTGGAAATGCCTGATTTACTGGTTCATTAAATAATGATACAAAATTCCCAATTTAATAAGTACAAATATTTTGGTTTGGTTTTGGTTGTTATTGGTTGGAGATCATCTCGGCCCTTGAATTTCAAGTGCTCGACGAAGGGGTAGCCATAATCATGGTATTTTATCGACAAAACCAATGAGTAAACAAATATTATATAATTTCTCGAAAAAGAACATAATCCACAAGCAATTGCCGTTGGCTAGACTATACCCGATTCTGTGAGCCACATTCAAGGGCAAAAGTTACCTACATGTTGGTGCTTCTCTCGAGCTTGATAACGAACTGGCCATGTTTCGCTTCTTTCCATACTAAAGAGCTTCTAAAAATGAGAATGCGACAACATGATTATAAAATAGTGTAACTTACAAACACCGACCTATTTTATTTTCGTGAAACGAATTAATTCATAGAACCTGGATTTCGAGAATTATTAATCTTGAAAATTGTTCTTACTGTATTATTCCCATCTCTTAAGGGGTTGAAAACTTTGGGTCACCTGCCGAAGACCACAACTGCCCTGGATATAATGGACCATCATGATTCCTGCCTTCCGAAACGTAGCCTTCAACACTTCAAGCCGTCCGTATCTAGGCCGTGGGTCGAACCAGCCCTCAGTCGAACGGCAACATGTCGAAGGACGATAAATTTTGGAACAGAACTATGCTATCTGAAACCTAACCTCAGATGCGGTGAACGTAAAATTACGTAATTTAACGATGCCCGGAAGTCAGATTCGATCCGCGGCCTGGTGGTGCACGGCAGGTGGTGGTCAAGGCCGGAGGAGGACAAAGCCGAGTGGTGCACGGCTGATTGGTGTAGGTCAGGAGAGATCCGAGGCGTTCGATTCAGGGCTTATTGGTGCACAAAAATTGGTGGTGTACGGCTGCGCTCCCGAAAAATTTCTAGATCAACCTGGCACACTATTCCTGACTCGACAAGGTATGCAAATTATTTTTAGAAAATGTTGTAAAATGGCGTCAGGAGAAATCCAAGCAGGAGATCGAAAGCGTATGCGAGGCGAGTGGTCTCCCAATTAAAAAATATATTTGGTTTAGGGAAAAATATTTTTGGTTTTTCCAAGTTTATGAAGTTGTTCATTCGTGTTCGAAATTGCCCGGTATTAAAAATTTTTCCGATGTTCGGTCGCCTCTCATCAACGGAATTTATCCGCATTCAATTATCCTATGCAATTTTGCTGGAGTGCAGCTCTGAAGGAAGTTTGTACGAGCTTGCCATCATTTCAAGTTTGATCTTTTGCAGTATATTAGAATTGGTCTGTCGCACAGAGTCTGTGTACAGAGTTTTTGTATTTCAGGTAATAATGAACAGCTCCATTTTCTCGACAGCGTGGCTCCAAGGGTTCTCTACTTTATGCTCAAAATAATACTATAAAAAATACAAATAAGGTTAGATGTTCTGAAAGATAATGCAAAGATGATCATTTTTGGGAATATATTTTCGAAGGATACCATGTGCGTTTTCCGGCGTCAGGTGCAAGAGAAACCCACAAAGCGTTTCGGGATCTTCAAGTGAGCATCAAAGAACGCGTTAATTTCGAAAGCATAAAATACGGCGATAAAGTGGGCAGTTCACCTCGTAAATAAATGATTTTTCAATTTTCCGTAACAAGTTCCAGGTACGGACCTCACCTGGAACGGCTAAGCGCCTTTATTTACTGACTTGGATGTGCCTCCTGTTTCTACGTCAAATGTCGTATCTTTTACAGCAATCTCCAGTTTATTTCAAGAAATTCATTTGACTCGATATTTTAAACGTGCACTTGTCCCACGCATTAACAGTAATTAAATAATGACCAATGTTAGTTGTAAAATCTGTTGATCAAGTCTGGTGTTGGTCGTTAGTACTGCAACTCCAGGGCATGAAAACAATTTCAATCAAGTACGATAATTGCTAATCCTTAATTATAGCGTCATTCAAAGTTGGGTGCACACTGACAAATTTTGTATCTTGATGTTTACATGATTGTTTGATTAGGGAATCAAATAAAAAATTACGAATTTACGTCAACAAATTCTTGTAGCGGAGCTCAAGACCCAAGCTATGAGGGTCTTTCATGAAGCTATGAGTTCTCTTTCCATGAAGTCAATTAAAATGAACGAATTTTCAAGCAATGCAACAAAATGTTCAGATGTTCAGATGCAAGGTCAATGTTCAGATGCAAGATTTTAAGTTCGAGTGACATGAAATTTTACCTGTATGAGAAATTGAGTAAACATGCTCCTGAAAATCGCAATTTACTCAAAGCTTCACTTGTCAGTCAAATATCATTTCACATCAAGATTTCAATCTTAAATTCGTCATTATTCGCAGGAATCGGAAGAAATAATAAGCATACATAAGAATATTATACTTTTCTTGAAATATACTTGACAGTATTCAATACTATTAAGATTGATAGCATGGTACAAATACCGTGCCAAATACAGCATTTCACACAAGACTGACTGTGGCGTGTAGAAATGAGGCAAAATACTTGGTTAACATTATTGCTGTCGATGATGTCTTGTGGGCACTGCGTGTGTACTTTTTTATGAATAGAGTTTAGTCAATAATTTCATTTAATAAGCGTGCTATTATCTTTCCAATTGTTTTGATCCAAGCTCAAAACTGCTCAAGTCGGTGATTGCGAAAGCCCAGTGAAAATGTTTCCCACAGTTTATGCCAAAATTCAACTCAATTTCTGGCAGAGTATGTACTGAAAATTTACTAAAAACGACGACATTCAGGTTGAAGTCAAGGCGTTCATGATTTTTAACTGTGTCAAAATTATAAGAAAAGTAATGTAGCTAAAACATCGTCCATAGAAATTTTCCAAACGTAATACGACATGTATCTAATTGAGGTTCATTTAATACGAGTAAAATACTTAGTGACTAACGTAGGAAAACCCATAATCACTACAAACAATCATTCTTTGCTGGACGACTCCTCGTCAATCTAAGTGATTAACATCTGGCGAACAATTCATCATACTACAGACGATCAAACTCTGATGAACAACACCTTGTCGCTCCAGATGATCAACTATTCGTCACGCCAGAGGATCAACCTCTAGAGAACAATATCTAATTACACCAGACGATCAAGCTCAGGTGCACAATTCTTCGCCCCTCCATATGATCAACTATTCTTCAGCATATGTGATCAACCTCTAATCAACATCTCCTCATCACTCGAGATGATCAATCTCTGGTGAACAACTTACTACCGATGATTAACCTCCGATAAACAATCCACACATCACTAAGGATTGTTAATCTCAGGGGAATAACTCCTGTCACGTGAGGCGACGATAATCGTCTCCCCAGGACGTGAAACAAATTTGATGTTGTTTTAGCTTATTATTTATTGTGACTTAATGACATAAATATACCAGACATGAGCACCAATTAAAACCAAGCTATCCTATGCCAGCAGCTCAACGAACTTCAGTTTCATCAACAAGGCGTCCGTGTCTAAGTGTTCCTCAGCGACATCTTCATTCGCTCCCTAATGGCGGACTTCAACATGACCAAAACTTGGGCAAACATCACCGACCCGGAAATGTCGGTCATTGTTGCAGAAGATTTCTTGATGCCTTGGTATACGCAGTTCCTATGGTACTTGCTCTTCGGGTCGATGGTGTTGATGGCCGTGGGCGGTAACTTGATCGTCATTTACATCGTAATAGTTGACCGGAAAATGAGGTCTGTGACAAATATATTCATCGTGAATTTGAGCATTGCTGACGCAATGAACGCAATCTTCAACGTAGTATTCAATTTTATCTTCATGCTCCACATGCATTGGCCCTTCGGTTATATTTATTGCAAGTTCAACCAGTTCATCGCTGTCCTGTCCATCTGCGCTTCCATCTTCACTCTCATGGCAGTTTCGTTCGACAGGTGAGTATGAATATTAAAATCGTATATAATCCCAAAAGAAATAATTGAAAATGCATTTGTAACTTAACATTACTTCCTAATTGATATTTATATTTTTTCTTATAACTTAATCTTTATTTTCAGATGACGGAATTTTTTTACCCTGAAAATATGGTTTCTCTGTCTGTTTCTAAAAATAAGTTGAAGGCTTTCAGTAATTTTTATCTCCTATATTACTAAATTGAAGTCAAAAGTTTCAATAACTACATTAAAGGTTTCTATTTCACATGCTGCTTCTTTCAGCTTGATTTTCGTTCTTTGAACTGGTCACTGCATTTCTCTAGTTCTTGAATTCTCTTCCTGTTTACCTTGGCACTTAATTCGAGGAGCGCTTCTGGGATTTATAACTGTAGCAATTGTCTCAGTTGCAGCTGCAAAAACTTCTTTACCTTTGTTTTCATTGTCAACAAGGAGAAAACGCATAAAATTTTGTGGTGCTATTGACGCTCAATTCTATTTTACTTGCTCAACGCGAAAGTCTCACTCAGAAAATGAATGGGTAAAGATGTACAAATAGTGACACACTCTCTACATGTAGCACTGATACGTCCGTTTGCCCAAGCAAAATTAAGTTAGGACGTCCCACATTTGGGCAAGAAGTGAATCGCTACTGGGATAATGTCTCTTGATTTTCTGATTGATTTTATCATTAACTTGCTGTATAAACATCTAGAGAAAAATGCTATCCGTTCATGCGAAATTTTAGTTCACACTTCTATTTAAAAAGTTTTATGTTGTTGAAGTATAGTATTTTAAGGTTATACAGGAAATAACAATTCTTTATTGAGTCTGATAGCGGCAAATCAAAGATTGCTGGTCATTCACATATTATAATATATGATTATATATCCCTCGCTGAAGACGCGAGTGTGCAAATTTATTATAATGAAGATATTGCATTCCCACGACACTTGATACTTCCGTAAATACTTGCAAAAATCTAAACTTTGAAGCAAGCTCTAGTTTCAAGTGGGTCTGTTAAATGTCTACAAAATATTGTGAGTTTCACTACAAATTATTATTCATTACAAATTATTAATCATTACAAATATGACTACTCTAAAAACATCGGTTTTCGTATTGCTTGAGAGAGAAGGTCCCACTAGACCGTAGATGCAGTCCAATTTTCAATAAAAAATCTCGGTTATCTTTAAATAAAAGTTTAAATATTCAGTTACCTCAACATTCAACCATCACTGAAGTTCAAAAGAACCCATGCAGTTGGCCAGTTAATTGAGCAAATCTGTCGGAAAAGCGGTCGGCAGCACTTGAGGAATTCGTTTGATTTTAGCGCTGCAAGTCATACCATTTGAACGGCTTAGTAAAAATTGTGTATTGAGTTTTAAATGATAAAATGATTAATTTATTTATGCAATATTATTTAATAATAAATATATGTACGTTACTAAGATATTTAGTTTGGTTTGACTAAGGCTAGTCACTAAGTCACTAAGCTATCATGTTAAATTGTAGGCTATGGAAATTTCCATTACATATCTTCTTTCATTAGCATAAAGAAAAAAGTTTCACAGCAAAAAAATTTGAATGAATTGTTCGGCTCTGAATGCTCAACGAAATTTATTTCACTTATCCGATATTTAATTACGAATCAACGATTCATGATTTATTCGTTTCGATTTCATGAAATGTTTTTTTTCTGAAGTGGAACAGCTGTTGTTTGCAAATATCACAGCTTTCATGAAATACTATTTTGAAAATTACTCCCAGAAATAAATTTTGAATTTTTTTATAATTTATCAACGATGTGTCAACTTCTGGCAATGACTTGATGGGCGACGAAGCGATTGACAATATATTGTGCCATCCGCGTGCATTTGGAGATGCCAGTAAGAAAGACAGCGACTGCTCCTCTAAACAAACACAGTTCGTCAACAGCGGCGTTTGCAGGGGTAAAGCCGACGATGGATTGCGCCAAGCTCAAACAATCCCAAAGCACTCACCGTCATGACCAATTAATCGACGCAACTTTGGGCGCGGATTTGCTATACAAGAAATGCGAAGGGAAAGTCTTGAAAGGTTTTAGCTGCGCTAGGCTCCAATATATATATATATATATATATTTCGAATAAACAAGGGAGCTTTGTGATTTGAACCTCAGATTTGCGGGGTAAGGAGAAATGTTTTATTGGTTTCACATCCCTGGTCCGAATTTATGGACGCGGGGATAGCAACTTTCATAAGGAATTTGAGACTTTAGAAAATCTAACATTAGTTACATGCAAAGTTTTCGAAATTTATGTCGTTTGAAAAAAGTTTAGAGGTTGAAAGCTTCACAAAAGAAGACTGGAAGAAGCGAGAATAAAATTTACAGTGAAATAAAAAAAAAAATACTTTGAATAAAATAATTTACCTTTACAAATCAATTTTGAGTTACAAATTTCACGACTGAATTTCTGCAATATATATATTTTTTGAAAGAAATACAGTCATTGCCCGCCGTACCTTAAATTGCGCAATGATACGTAATAATTGTAATACTGTAAATTGTTGTTACTCGATTACATGAGAGACATAAAACTTTCCTAAATCTTGACGGCTAAAGCCAACAACGATACTTAATCATAAGGAAATCTTCGCATGTTTTTCGAATTATAGTAAATGTTAAAAAGAAAACATTTATTCCCAGCCTTGAATAGAATGAAATTAGAGATGACCATTGAACTCTTTTATTTATCTTTATCTTGTGGTGCAAGCTTGCGTTCTTCATTATCGCCTATGTAAAGCCTTTCTAAATATTTTTTAAACTAATTCATGACTGAAACAACTCTCATGATATGTTCACTCCTTGAGTAACTGGCAATCTAAATGTTTCGTTATATCCTAGGCAGTTATTTCATATCTATTGTCCAAGTTCATCTTTTCCTGATACATTTCTTCTAGTAGGTACATTGAAATTATTTTCGCTTGCTCCTCAGTTTTTATACTCAGGTATTTTGCCATGCGAAACCTAATACTTTTTATCAGACATGTTAAAATTTCCAGTAATGTTTTTTTATCGCAGTATACGAATAAAAGCAATGCAATCAGGTGTTCAATAGCTGCTCTGTCTTTTAATACTTACCAATCCGTCATGTTTTTAGTGTCAACAGATACTTTTCATCAGTTTACAGATACTACAGATACTTTTCATTTTTTGGCGTATTGATTCATAACTACACATTAAAGATGTTTTTATTGTCAACAGATACTTTGCATCCCAGTCACTGGTCTATTTATTCAACCTTACACAATAACCAAATTCCGATTTTCAATGGATATTTCTGGTTGCAGGTACTGGGCAATAATGTACCCACTGCGCACGCGCATCGGGCGCCGTGCTACGCTGCTCATCGTGCTCTGCATCTGGCTGGCCTCCGTTGCGCTCGCCTTGCCCAACGCCATCTTCTTCACCATCGCTGTGGGATAAGATAAATACTAAGATAACCGAGATAATTATGAACATTGAGATACCTGGATTTGCTGCTATAATTACGATAACCGAGATAATTACGAATATTGAGATACCTGGATTTGCTGCGATCATTACGATTGAATTTGCCGTTATAATTACGATAACTGAGATAATTAGTGACATTGAGAGACCTGGATTTGCTGCGATCATTGCGATAACTGAGATAATTACGAACATTGAGTTGAGATACCTGAATTTGCTGCTATCATTACGATAACTGAGATAATTACGGACATTGAGATACCTGAATTTGATGCTAAAATTACGATAACTGAGATAATTACGAACATTGAGTTGAGATACCTGAATTTGCTGCTATCATTACGATAACTGAGATAATTACGAACACTGAGATACCTGGATTTGCTGTTATAATTACGATAACTGAGATAATTACGAACATTGAGATACATAAATTTGCTGCTATCATTACGGTAACTGAGACTGGTACGACTGACGATAACTAAGATAGTTACAACAATCTAGAAGAATAAGAAACCTATGACCATTACGATAATTGCGATAGCTATCGCCATTACGGTAAATGAGATAGCAGCGTTAACTCCGGTAACTCCAGCAACTAAGAATACCCCCCATACCTGCGATTACTGAATTAACTGCTTTAACTCTATTAGCATGTCACTGATAACTCTGATTGATGTGATGTCAGGAATACTCTAATGGCTCTAATTACCCCGATGTCTTTAATGACTGTGAAATCTGACTATTCTGAAAATTACAACGGCTGGGTTCACAATACCGTACGCTAAATCTAATTACCTCGAAACTTCCAGAGGCGATTAAAAATGATAGTTTCCTCTTTTTTATCAACATTAAGATCAATTCAAGATCAGCAAGATTATTAACATTTCATTCAGTTATAGTATACACATTGTCCCCAAGTTCTTTATTTTGAAAATTCTAAATTCTGACGTAATCGCAATAAGAATTCAGACAGTCATTTTGGGGTGACTTTGTGAATTTTTTTTTGATTGTTGTCCGTCTTGCGGTAAACAGTGACCAACGAACTATTGTTTCTTAAATTGAACGAAAAAAACTTACGTATTGTTCTTTTTACTGTTATATTGGCAATTTTTATTTTAATGCGCTATAAAACTAAGTTTCTTATATCATGTTTATGAAAAAAAATGAAAAGTTTCTGAAAATATCTCTAACTTACTACGCTGAAGAATTTTCTCAGCAGCGAAACCAATCTCAGTTGAGCCACTGAGAACGCTCAAAGCACAATCCAGCTATGGCCATCTCACTCCAAAAACAAATTTATTCCCAGTCAAAACTATTAAGAATCTTTTGATCGCTGAAATTGGATGTTACATTTCCATTTCCAACGTCATTTCTGCATTATGGCAATCTTCATAAGGACATATCTGCTTTCTGTATCACAACAGACCACTTTAAAGTAATATTTGTTTCTCCATAAATTTTTTTTTTGTGAAATTATCGAAAGCGTAGGCAAAAGAATACAGAAAAGGAACAAATAACTTTTACGGCATATAGTATTTTGGACAAATACTTGAATTAATAAAATTATTTAACATTTTTGTATAAAGTTTTAAAACATTTGTTAGTAGATTTTGTGCTGTCGCATTATATCGAGCAAATTATTTGAAATGTGCAATTTTTTAGTTTAAAGTAAATTTTATTACAGCAGTCGCGGCATGGATTTACGCCTTTTACTACAGCATGGGTCTGTGACATTCACTCTCTCGTGTACTTACAGGAACTGAACACGTCGAGCAGCGCTAGGACGGTCTGTCACTTCGAGTCTCCGGATGCGATTCTGGACTTGGAGTTTATGTAAGTCGCTAATATAAACAACGAAAAATTTATATTGTGAACCTGGGCATATGATTTTTTTGTTCTGGGATGTCACAGGATTTACGCCTGTGAATTAAGGTTTCAGCTATGAGGCAAAATGTTGATGGTTTTGATTAATTCCATTATCATTACGATGTGCGAAGTCATATCTCATCGTTTGTAATTGCATTCTCGTGTGACACAAAAACGTAATCTCATTATTTTATTGTCAAATTATATCGCGAAGTAATCATGATTACTTGATCATCTTACATTTTAATCTGGTTACGTGCTGGATAAACTTTCTTTGAATTCTTATTTGTAAAATGAAAATCAATAGGGATTTCAATCTTGATCCACAGACGAAGATATTGATTCATTTCGCGATTGAATGAAAATAATAAGTTAAATGAGCTTATATAAGAACATGTTGATACAAACATGAATATAAATACAAAGTTGCACGAGTTTTTAAATCTCTCTTAGGCAAATAAATTGTTCAAACGTGTTGATGTTATTTGAATATTATAACGAATACGTTATTTGTATGGAAAAATTTAAGTATGACTGAACAATAAACCATGAATGAATTTCAGTGCCATAAAACTTATTTTAGAATTAAATTGTTTTCAGTCCCAATTCCCAGCTTAGCTGACCACGAGTTTACAATGCCATGACGACGTGTGATGTCGTCACCATCCGTCCTAATGACACGTCTCCTCTGCAATCCGGTCTCTCGCGGGTTATGATTGAGTCTATCAAACCAAATGGTCTCGTCCAATGTTCCATGAATCTCTTTTAAAAATATTCCTGCCTTATATTTTTTTTATCCCTGCCACTGTGTGTGACTGTTGTCAAAAATTTCATAACGGAATTTTACACCGTAATGTTATTTAGAAAAAATATTTAGAAAATTTTCACATATGGAAGAATTCATTAACAATTTCACAAGTGGAAAAATACAATGATATTAAAATAGTTAAAACTTCTGAGCTCAAGTTAATTTTTACCAATGAGAATGCATTGATTCGTCATTATGAAGCAATTAAATTTTTGTACACTTGCATTCATAATTGATATGCAGTCTTTGACGCATTCATTTACCAGGACGAAAAATTTTATCACAAGGAGGCCGAACTCATTCTATGGCTCTAAACATTAATTTAACTACTCAATTTTTCCTAAAAATGCTTAGATTCCTTCACTGTTTAGTTGAATGACTTAGCTGTTATTCTTTCTAAAAATGGAACTATTGTCAAAAAGTGAGAGTAATTAGTGCCCTGCAAAAATATAATTTGGCGTTAATTAGATTCACTAGAGAGTTTTCTTCTAGAAATTTAACCCTGACCGGCACGTGTAGAAACTAGCAAAATGTTATCCAGCTTCTGGCAAAATATCTTTTTCAAAATATGGACTTGTTTTATGCACGAGCAATTCAGGACCCAAAAATAGACGAACTCATCAACTCATAACAAGCTCTTGTTGACATCGCATGCAGCTAATGCAGCCCCGTATTTTCGAAAAACTTTCCGACGGCACCTTTTCTGTTCTTAAAGGCCCAAATCAGGAATCTTTTCAAGTACGGCGGTGTCATTCAATTACGAAAGTTACGGCCAAGCCGACGCCAGCGACTGACTTTTCGATTACCTGGCATTGTCGTCTTGTATACGCACTCCGACTTCATAATATTTCTTATGTGAACTAAAATACTCGTTGCTATGCAATCTGTCTCGGATACGATCAAATTTTACAAAACTAAATGATGTAATCCGGCGTGAAAATTAAAATCAACCTTACAGATTCATTACTAATTGAATTTTGATTAAAAATATAATATATTATTCTATTAGTTTTCAAAGAATGGCATAAATGATTCATAAGAAGAATCGTCGCAATGAATAAACTTTAGAAATATTGAAACGAACATTTCTTGGCCAAACACTAAATGTCGACACTGTGTTCATCATTCATGAAAGAATTCGTCACATAATCAAATTTCGATTGTAATATCTTTTGAAAGTAAATTAATGCAAAAAACGCTCACCGGTAACGATTAAACGATCACTCGGGAGGAAACTAGGATTGCATTGCGTAGATACTTGCAAATTCTGCAGTGACCACAAACGTCCAAAAATCAAAATGAATTGCATGCCGAGATCGGGCCTTACATTGTTTCCAATTTTCCGGTTTTAGTATATCTTTCGTGCAGTACCTAACTGTCCGTGTTTTATTAGAGCAAATATAGCTGACAAATTACTGTTCCATTCTATTTGGTAATGACCATTTACAATATACCATAATTTTCCTCATACACCGAAAGGTATATATTCCGAAATATATATACACCGAAATATTCACGTTCATGCGCAATCGAAAAGTCCGTTATCCAATCCAATTTCTAACATTCAATCAACTCAATATATATAGTCTCTTACGTTGGGCATAACAACTTTCGGCAAGTTATTTAATGGTAACAAAATATATAAGTCGTTCTAAAATAAATACAAAATAAGTCTAAATTTCTAGCATTGGCCTCACTAGTCTGTTTCTTTGGCAGCTACAACGTTTTGATCACGGTGATCACGTACCTCGTACCCATGTTATGCATGGCCGTGACGTACACGAGGATGGGGCTGTTGCTCTGGGGCAGTCAAGCTGTGGGCGAGCCGACGCCTGGCCAGCGCGACACTTCGCGAGCCAAACGCAAGGTTAGCTCATCGCTGTCCGTGTTCAAATTGTGTTTAATAGTGTTCAATAATGTTAAATAGTGTTAAATAGTATTCAATAGTGTTCATTAGTTTTCCATAGTGTTCATTAGTTTTCAATAGTTTTCAATAGTGTTCAATAGTGTTCAATAGTGCTCAATAGCCACTATTGAACACATTCAGCTCGTAATATTGGGCACAGATTCCCATTACTGACTGTCCATAGCATTAATTTTATTCTATTCTATTCTATAGTTATTTCCATTGCAATCTAAAAATAAAAATCGGTGTTGATGCTAAACTTTACCCGAGATATCTAATTATATTCGTTTGTTTAACTGACTATAAATATCAACTGCTCCATTAAAATAAAAATCCAGTACTATCTTTGATCTGATATTCTATTGGGGTTAGTGATCATATTACCTTGATGGGAATATGTATATGTCTTTGCTTGAACTTATATTTAAATATCTACTCGCATATCTCTGAGGTTAATAATAACAACTATATACTTTGGCACAAATATATTATGAGGTAAAATTAAAACTGCTCTCATCATCCAATTAGTTTAATTACTCAGAAGCTGCGTGAGTTCAATTCGTGGACCTGGCCATGGATTTTCTTGATTAACTTGAATGAGCTTGGGGAGAACATGTTATGACTTGCAGTAAAAACTCGCATGAAAGAATCCTTAATCTCACAGCAAATGAGCTTTGTGTTGGTCTAATTTTAGGCGAGCTTCCAAAATTGACTAACTTTGCTGAAGCAAGCTAATTCGAACAAGATTATTCCATTGGAGAGAACATCTTCTTGTTCATTAACGAGTTCAACTAATGCAGCAAGTTTCAAACATTTCGTCTCCTGGTTTGTGAAGCCAATGGAACGTTTGAACAGGCAATGGAAAGGATTGTTAAAATTTAAACTATTCAAATTAGATGGTTTAATGATCAATATTGTACGTTGCCTTGTACACGTTTTCATCATTATATAAATTAATGGAAATAAATTGTTTGAATGAAAACTGATGCCACAGCTACGAATAGATCACAACACTGCCAAGTATGCAAGTCCTCCTTTATTGAGCCAATTTGTGGTTAGTTTGAAAATGTTTGCAAATTATGATGAGACGAGCAACTGGTCATTTCTTTCATCAATAGTTTGTGAATATTTCCATTAAAAATATCTAGTTTGTTAATACTGTGCATCATATACCATTTATTTCAGACTTCTATGTTGTCATGGACTTAGGTTGCTACCTCATAACTATTTTCACTGCTAGATAATAAATTATTATAAATATATATTTTATAAATATATTATAATAAATAATTGAACTTTTAACTATTAAGCAAAGCTGTTGTCGGGACACTTACGTTTGAGATCTATTCACACCTACGTATACTTGTGTCTCTCTGGCAACTAAATATTAGCGCAGCGGCAAGTGAAAGACGAATGAACGATGCAATTGTCTATTAAACTTCAAATTATAAACACTCAATTATATAATTAATGTAAGAATTGTATAGTTAATGCGACAGAGGAATGCCTGGGGAACTAAAGAAGTATGAAGCAGATGCAGACTATAAATGTAACAAAATTTTGACTAGTATAAATGAAAATTAGGTAGAACAACTGAAACATAAACACAATCACTGAACATTAATGCAACATGAATGAAACTTAATTGAGAAGGCAAGGAATCGACATGAACATTGATACATAACCACTAATAATTCAGGAAGTCCGGCCAACTAACCTTATTCAGTTATTCTGCACGATTGGGCTAAGAACTTACCAAAACTATTGGCTGATTTTACAGCCACTGGAGCCGTTCACGACAAGACAGTGACGCCGTTCACGAAAATACTCCTGATGACTAGAAAATCACTTCCCGTACTCAAACATCAGCTGTTGCCACAATCTTTACCCCTAAAATGACTGAAATATTAATCTAACATAATTATGGACAAATTGGACATTCGAAGATTTATTTTGCGAAAAAAGTAACCCGGTTACGTCTCAACAATTATATCTTTATTATTTATCGAAATTAATTTATTGCTTAACTTCCCGTTTGATGTTTAACAAAGAATTCTTATGCCCCCAGGTCGTTAAAATGTTGATCGTGGTGGTGGTGATGTTCGGGGTGTGTTGGCTGCCATACCAACTCTACTTCATCATCTCGCACTTCGTACGTCCTCATTTGAAGTTTATTTTAATTTAATGCATCTTATAAATATAACATTTTTTATATGATTTTTGTTCACATTGAACAAATAACTTACTTCAGAAGAAGGACTAGAACCGTATGCGTCTTATAAATATAACATTTTTTCATATGATTTTTGTTCACATTGAACAAATAACTTACTTCAGAAGAAGGACTAGAACCGTATGCGTCTTATAAATATAACATTTTTTTATGATTTTTGTTCACATTGAACAAATAACTTACTTCAGAAGAAGGACTAGAACAGTAGTTTTCATGGTTCGAGTCGTTGTTCATAGATAAGCTCATAAATGATCATTCTTTCAAAAATCAATCACTGCTGATTTTCCGTGTAGTTCACACTCACACACACTATATCACACTATATATCAATGATAAAACTATGAAGTATGGATGTTGTTTCATGTTGATATTGCATAGTTGATGCAGAGGCTGAATAATCATGTGTGCTGGTGGCTCATTAGCGCAGGGCAGGACGCTTTGATGGCGCTCGAGCAGCTCTCGTGCGGATCACATTAGTCGTTCGCCCAACAATGAAATGATTATTCCGTACATTAGGTTGTGTTGGCAAGACAGGCTGACGCCTTCTTCATGAAAATTCATAAATTCAAGCCTTCTTCATGAAAATTCATGTCAGTTTCATTGATTGTCCCAATATTTGGACTACAAGATAAAGAGACGTGTGCACTCAATATTTGGAATACAAGGTTAAGAGATGTGCGAATCAGACGTGCATCCTTCCTAATTTTTCTGCTGTCTTTGTTTTCGTTATTAATTCGTGGGCTATGGTAATTAATCGTTTATGCTCGGCTAAATTGAAGCTTCCAAATAAAAACGAAGCAATGAACGGAACAAATTAATTAAAGGAGAAAATTCATAGCAGGATTTATTGCTCACTACATTTTAATCGAAATATGAAACGCATTGGCGGTCCGCTTTTTCATTCTGAAAATGCCCGTCTTTCTTCTACCTCTGCCATTTAGATTACGTAAAGGCGGCCTGGTTCACATGCTCCGTTCAGATTTAGTGTGACGTAGTTTCCGGACTAGATTTATTAGATGGAAATTTTAGCCGATGGAGATTCATGAAAAAATGGTAAGCAGAAGGACAATTTTTAGGCGAAGAGCCGTGAGGAAAGTCTTCTTTCTTCATTTCTCATGTCATGTTTTATGAGAGTACATTCGAACTTTTGTCTGCTCGACTCATGTCACATTAAATAATGGAAAAAGTTGCAGAATGAGACGGATGACAGCTGGGGTCATGTCGCTCGTTCGAAGTCTACATCGCAGCCACTTTAAAACTCTGGAAGACTCATTTTTGCTATACGACTTCGCAAAGATTTTGGGAACCGAATCTCGTTGTGTGAGGAAACAAAATTGCTGAAATCGAAGTCATACTCACGCTATGTCAGGCAGTTTCATTTATGAATCGCTAAATTTGTAAAACTTCTGGCCTCAGCAATTATCTATTATAAATAGAGACGATGAGAAAATTCAATTCCTACATATGCATGTTATGCCCTGCCATGTCTAGTGAAATCTATGAGATTTTTGAACGCTCGCCCAGGACGCAGTGAACGCGTTCAAAATGCACCAACCTTACTATTTCTTCCATTACGTATTATTAAACTCAACTTTGATATATACTGACATGTGAATTATGTTGATATTATGTTGATGTATACTCTACTTTGATATATACTGACATGTGAAATTATGTTAAAATTGGTTAAGGTTGTTTGTAAATTGAATTTAATTCCTTGTCCACGATATTTTTTGTATCGGAATTTTGCCCGGAGACGAAAATGTATTCACCGTGAAAAGGTGCACCGTCATCCCCACAGCAAAGAATGGCATTGCAAAGCTGGAAGGAAAAGATTGGGTACAAATTAAAATTTTATTCCTCCATTTTTATTGATAATTTTTTGTGAAGCACATAAAACTATTTTTTTCATAATTTGAATTAGAGTCAAATGAGAGTTCCTTGTAAGGTGTGGGTTTGAACGGATTTTTTTCAACTTGCATACATTACTATTATTCTCATGAATGTTAACAGAATAACTGCTATTATGAGGATTATAAAATTGCAGGGATTTTCGATCCCGAGCAACGTCAGCTTACCTGCCAATTTTGAATTGTAAACAAAATTTTGAGCTACTCTAGGCAATGCTAAAAGATAATTCGGAGCAATTATTGAACCTGCCTTTATTACAGCTCGTAGTGTTTCTGTAACATGAACGAACAACATAAGAGACAAGCTTGAACCTGATTATATAAGAAATTTCATTTCAAATTTCACAGCCTTTTTGGGTTGGACGCTTGAAATCAACATTAAGTATGGGTTTCTGAAATGTAAAACAGAAATACTTATCAAGCCCGGAAAAGCTAATCTGTTATTTGTAACTAAAAATTAAAAAGCTGATAAGACAAAATTTTCCTTATAACATTAGATTTGGTCATATATATCAAGAACGTTGTCAAATGAGTCCGTTATATAATAATGTTGCGATGTTACGAATTTCACAGTTCCCTTACATAAACGGCTACGAGCACATGCAAACAATCTACCTGCTGATCTACTGGCTAGCCATGAGCAACTCCATGTACAACCCCATCATCTACTGCTGGCTCAACGAAAAGTAAGTCGTAACTCCAAGACAAGTGTTGCATCAAGTTGCAAATTCGTAACCCTGGTACGTGCTGAACATTCACAACCTTCTATAAAATTATTTTTCATCATGTATGTCTTTTTTAATACGTGCTTATTATATTTATGGTACTGTTGTGTTATCGAACCATCTAAGTTCATCATCATTTACTTGTCTCGGAAAGGTTTCCATCAATTTTATTAAATGTTTTTAAACATCCACTACATTGCAAAAAAATTAGTTCAAATCGACTGGTTGCATAAACTAGAAATACACCCATGGCTGTAATATACCCGAACAATTTTTTAAATTCCCGAATAGGAATTAATGTTTCCACGAAAAATTTAATTCAATATTTTTGGCTCTCGTCTTCTTCTCGCCTCGCGTAGCTCCGTCTCTGTTTAGATTCATATTTTCCCACGTGATGTTCTGATTAAATTACATCAAAGTCTATACTTCAATGGAAGATAATGTTTTTATTTACATCCTGATTATCTCTCGTAATATTAATTATTCGGAAATAATAGCAATTCAGAAAGGTCGTGCACTCATACAAAAGGTTCCGTCAATAATCATTTTTATTTAGCAAAACCAAATGAAAAATTTTGGCTGCTTGCAACTTGTTTTCATCTTGCAAGAGACTTTTTATATGCAAAACTCAGACTCTTACGAACTCTTGGGGCGCGACCTATGCTGAGTGAACAGCCGACTCAAAGGACAGAGATTTCCTTATTGTTGACTTGCATGTCTAAAGCTGAATATGCCTTTTCGAGAAGTGTCTTTTATACTAACATAATTGGGTGATGGTAAAAGTCAAATCTCGCAGAAGGCTTGTTATATAGGATATTTTTGTTGGTCACATGAATCTGGAGGTTACTTTAATGCTCTTAGACTCGAGGTCCCATGTACCTAAGTTTTTCACACAACTTATAATTGGACTGCCAGATTTATGAAGATCAAAAAATATTTATTTTTCAGGTAGGTAATGATCTATTGCGATGAGATGAGTGCTAACCCCAAGAATGTATGAAAATTCGAGAGAATCATATAGCTGCATGGTTTGTTCGGAGTCTTGTTACGAAAATTTAGACACAATTCTTCGATCCTTTTTAATAAGTCATGGAATAAATTGCATTCAATTTTATGATTGGATTGGATACACGGTGATAAATGTTTGTTCTAAAATCAGCAAAAGAATCAAATGATTTCATACATCTATTTTTCTTAATTCTGTACCCAAGCTTCATAACTAAATTGACGGAACAGCCATTTGTTCAGCTGCAAATAATAAATTTCGTTATGAAACAAACACATCTTTGAAGAAATAAATTGAATTCCAAACAATACAAAACACGGCTGAATCTCACCCAATAACACAAATAAAAGTTTATTGATTCGAGACTAGCTGCAAATGAAATTAAGTTCAAAAACCGTAAAGCTAATCAAAATTGTTTTACTTGGCAACCAAAAGTAATTTGTTTACCGCTTCAATATTGATTTTTCTAGGCACAAAACACACTAGTTTGATGTGCGCAATGTTCGTTTCAATGCCTCCACAAGTTCATCATAAAAGGGCATAAAAAAATACTCGTGTATGCGGGTGAAATATTCATGCTTTCATATGATCATCATGGCCGAAAATCAGCAAATTAATGCTACTCACATTATACGGGAGTCACGTACTAGATTCAATTTTTTTATTAAAAACAATACTTTTTTATCAAGAAACCAGACTCTCTACACGCAGCACTTTATCATATGAGCTAATTATTGAATCCACGTGTCCCAGGTATGTATACAGATTTTCCAAGTTTTTACTGAGAAATGAGCAGTTTATTAGAAATTATTACCATTAAAGTTAACTTGTTTCTCGACTATCACAATCACGTTAGAACAAAAGAAACAATTGAGGCACGATTTCTTGAATGGATGATTGCAGGCAGTGAAGAGGTGAAATTCAACACTTGTTATGCATTCTCATTTAAAATTAATACAACTGAATATTTCAAAGAATATCAAGTCACTATACCATTTCACAATATGCCGGTTGCGTTTCAAAAATCTGGTATTGAAAAAATTATCAATAAGATTTATTTTTAATTTCATTGATGTTTAGCTTTAGCGATAAATTATTTTCTTGTGCAAGAAAATGGTTTACACGAGCACGTCTTTATTATTACTACATTTGAATCGAAGCGAAGAGGTATAGAGGATGTAATAAGCGCATGAATTAGTAACTGTACGGAGATGTAACGGATAAAATAAGTAAATTGTTTATGCCTTTGCGTTTGACCTGACATGACGCAAGCCCTTCTTCACTCGCAAGGTGGAAAACTGTCCAGTTTAACGAAGAATGTTTTATGTTTATAGTTTCCGTAATGGCTTCAAGTCGGTGTTCTACCGCTGCTTACCCTGCGTACCTTGGTTGAAGCCTTCCTTGTCTCTACGCCCTGGAAACACAATGTCCACCTACTACTCCACCAGCGGCAGCCCTGAATTCCCCAGGAGATTTGGTGAGTTCCGTCTGGCTGTAGATGAACTTCTTCTGCGTTAGCTTCCCCTTTGCTATGGTGATTCATCCGAATTTTCTTTTTCATTCCGAATTTAAAATTCCTAGAGCAAGCAAGAACTCTCTATCATTATTCATAAAATTTTTGCCTTTCTTTAAAATTCCTAGAGCAAGCAAGAACTCTATCATTATCCATAAAATGTTTGCCTTTCTTCGCTAAATTTCCGACTTATTAATGGTGCTTATTTGACGAAATGTTCTATAAATTCCCTAAATGGTGCGTTCGGTGGGGAAAAGACAAATCCGCACTGCTAAAATTAAATGCATTTTCCAGAACAAGAGGGTTAGTGTTGCACATCAGTTCTTTCTCCATCAGCGAGAAAGTAATCATTACGGCCAGCCTATTTTGAGTGTTCTTGTACGGGCTCACACGTATTTAATTCATTCTCCTTAATTTCTTTAGATTGTGTGTCTCCCTTACATGTATTAAAGTTTCATAATTAAGCTTTTTATTGGAAATGAATTTAAGGTGAAAAATTACTACGAAAATGAGCATGGGCCTATAGTGATAAGATTTACTGAAAGAATTGCATTTAATCCCCACACTTCACATTCTTTCTAGAAGGGGGCTTCAACGAATTAAGTATTGCACTTCGCAACTAAAATATTATTAACAGCACAAAAGTCTATCTCAGATCTCAAATTTAAACTAGGAAAACCATAAACGAAAATACTCTAAATAAATACTAGTTTTCGCAAGTTTAATTAATCAATTATATTTCTCGTTCAGTAATCTTTCAGAATAATAGCGTTTTGTATGCATTTCACTTTGATTATTTTGATCACGTAGATAAAACTATATCTAGTTTTTTAAGCTGTCATGATAAACTGGAGTTAAGTTCTCAATTTCATCAGAGGACAAAGTGTACAAGGAACACCTGCCGTATTTTGCTAAAAAAATACGTTAAAGGGTACTCACTTTCCTCTACTTAAAATGGATTAGTAAAACCAGAGGAGCTTAATGCGATATCGTCGATTGTTTTCCTCTGAAAAGTTTTCAGCTTGGCTGGCACTTCAAACAACGCTGACTTCGTCGTCCCGGGTGACCGAGTCCGCACTTCTGAGCTTCAATTAACCTCTCTTCGAAGATGTAAAGAGTTTGACCCGATTTTTAATCAAGGAACTAGGGGGAAAACGTGAGCTTTGCGCAGGTTAATTTTGGCTGACTTGATCATGCAGAAGCACCCTGGCTTGTCCAATGCTAATTGGCTTTCATGAAAGTCAAAGTCAATAATTTCATTTTTCAACATTTGACTTTATCTCGTGTAGTCAGAGTAATCAATAAATTTCTACACATCTGATATGAAGTTTAGTTAATGAAGCGCAAAGACGTATTACTTTATGTTACGTAGGATCTATGTCTAAATTGTCTGAAACTACTCATAATTTTTATCACATATAGCACTTCTGTAATAATTTTACATTCTTGCACAATTTTAATCAATACGTAAAATTCAATGAAACGAGCCTTCGATTTTGGCCGTGCTGTTGATCAGCGACATATATTAAACAAACAAATAATCGCGGACCTCCAACCTTTCTCAATTTTCGCATTACAGGTTTTGTGTAGTTCATTATAAATTTAGTGAAAATTTTTGTTTGGAAAATTATCTCATTCAAATGATATTTTTCCTCGTTTTTTGAAATCGTTTGCTTTTAATTAATAATTTTCTAATTAGTGTGTTTGGGCAGCTGATTGGATTGTATCGACTAATTCGTCAACATGTTTGCTTGTTGGTTGCGCACATATAAATAACATAAATGTGGTTAGCAGGACGCTTAAACGAGCTTCAAAACATGTTTCCCAGTATTTCGTACTGAATTTACATTTTGAAAGGATTTCCTTGACACAAGATGGAGCTCGATGTTCTCCAGCGATGAAAACATAATTTTTCCCCGAGGCTCTAATGCTCAATACTTAGTCTGCGTCATCAATGGATGTTCTCGGAACTTTGAGAGAAACACCTGACATAGAATTTCGCTCCCTCCTGCGGTTTCCGTAAATTACTTAATACTGACAACTGTTGTTCGACAGTATTAAGGCTGAAGCATTTCTTAATGATCATTGGAAAGATGAAATGAGGTGAATTTTCCTAAACTAATGCGATAAATTCCTTATTCAAATATTAGTTCAAGAAAGATCCAACAGCTCCTGACAATTAACTGCATTGAAGTAAAGGAAACAAATTATGATAATTACATAACAATAAATCAGAAATTCAAGTAATTTTCTAGTCACCAAATTCAAGATTTTTACGCGTATTTCGAAGAACAACATAACAGTGCTGTTCAAAATTTATTGAGATATCAGCAGCGACGTTTGTAGGTATGTGACATTGTTTAGATATTTTTTTAAGCTCGGACTCGAAGTCATCCGGCTAGAGTTCACATCAAAATTGATCCTCTTGAACGGCCCATATACGTACGTTTTATACATGAAACTAAAAATATTACCCTATTCCCGCAGGTCATGGTCGTTCAATTGCACTTCACACGCTTCAAAATCCCAGTCCCGCATCCACGATTACGACACGCTACGACAACGGTCGATCTTCAACGCGTTCATCCTCCATCACCAACTCCATGATCCATTCTTCGAGTTCTGGCGTGAAATCTGGCATGCGGTCTTGCACCGGCGGGGGCATTGCTCATGACTTGGCCTATTATCCTCCCAGTTACGGTGCCAGCAGAGCTGACAGATGCCAAACACAGAGCCTGCTGCATACGAAGCTCAGTGGCGACTACGGCGGACTCAAAGATTTCAAGAAAAGTCCACCGCACGAGTACAGCTATGTTGATGTCATCAAGACCCTCGATTTCGACAATGACAGTGCTAAGGATGCCGAATCCAAATCAAATCAAATTTCGATGGGACATGAAAACAGGTCTATGAATATCCCTTTGAGCGTCAGTCCGCTTCTCCAGTGCCCCTCCTCGGAATCGTCACCCTTTGCTATAGTTATGGCATCCCCCGTGGACCGCGACTGTCCTCTGGTGATGGTCGACGCGAGCGAAGACGCGTACTTGAAATACCTCGAGGAGCCAATTGACCAACGCTCGTCACATGATCATGAAGGTTCAGATAACGTGCTTGAATAATAAGTTTACTCTCTGCACTCTGTGCCACTCGAGTGGTAAGTGCAGCATTGTCTGCAACATCTTTCTACCTAAATAGTTATTCCGGATATTTGTTCAATGTGTACTATATCATGCATCGAACTGAATTATATGAGAATACCAATCGATGCCGAATCTATAAAGCTGTTCGCATTTTAAGCTGTAAATACTTAACTTGTCTATGTGTCATCTTTGTATAGAATTAAGCAGATGGTCGAACAAATCACTCTTCGCTTTAAACGCAACTGCAGGAGTTTGTTTGAAATATATATATAATGTTAATAATGTGAGACATATCGTAATTTAAAATAGATTATGCTGGTCATATTTCATTTGTTTCGCTTTTGTGTATACACAAGCAGCTGTCACTGTATCTATGGTTAGGACTGAGTCCGCACTTCAATTTCTATTATTCACTTCATGCTTCATCATCACAATATAATTGCATTGTCATGAAGTCCTAGGTCAGTTTCAGGAACTAGGACATCTTCTCATAGTGTCAAGCACTTTCTCCATTATACGCAAAGAATTTTTATCTATTTATACGGTAACGCAAATGATATTTTTTAGGTTTGAGTCATTCAGTTCTGTTTTTACCTCTACAAATGATGATGTGTTACAAATATGTAAAAAAATATATAAACAGGTTGATTCACGGAAACTCTCTGATTTGAAAGCTCAATAAAACTGAACTAGCAAAAATATCACTTACATACGAATTTTATTAGAAAAATACCTGAATTTCTGTATCACTTAGTTTTTAAGATCATATTGGGCAAATGACGGTCCCCATTGTCAATGAAATCAGTTAGTCGATTTATGAAATTCTGTTCAACTCGCTGAAGCATATTGACGTGTATGTTGGTGATGACTTGGCGTATGTTGTTCTTCAAATGAGGTTGGATCCTTGGACAGTCGATATAAGCTATTTATTTAATATAACTCAATAAAGAAAATTCCCATGGAGTCAAATCGGAGGATGGGGCTAGCCAAAGAATGTAATTTCTCAAGGAGATGACGCACTCTGCATAATGTTGTCTCAGAAGTACGCCTCGACAGCAAACGCACGCTGCTCCCTTGTCCAATGCATAGTGGCAACCGACTAGGTGGGACACAAAACATCATGATCTTACAATTTATATGAATTACTGAGCGCCCTTTTCCCACAATTACTGGCTGCTTGGAGCGAAATGTAAAACAGGAAGCTTCCGTAAATCACCCCATATGTATACTTTCACGATTATATATAGCCGCTGAGATACTTCGACGCGCTTGGGCAAACAAAACTTCAAATGGCTGATCCCCGATGAGCATTTGAAGTCGAGAAAAGGCGTACCTCGCTGCTTGAAGAAACCAAAGAGAATCCATCATGTACGGTTTCACGAAAAAAAATAATTTGCTGTCAAAGTTACTTTTACTTCATTGGAAGGTTTTCCTAAAATGAGATTGGTGGTGATGACACTTTTTCTTCCAAGGCATCAGCAATATATTAAGCAAGTCTGCTGTTGGACTCGAGATCAGATGGTAGATAAATATTGATGTACTAATCTTACTAGCACTGCACTTCATTTTTTATCGCCTTTAATTATATAACTCGTTAGCTCCGCATATGAGATACAGAAGCAATCCTCGATTGTTCCTGCTACAATAATGGAAAATATAATCTTTTCCACTAATGAAAAGATGGGATTAAAATGCAATGGAACTTTTCTTAACGAATCTCAGCAGTTATTTTGCTACAATTAAATACAAAGTATCCAACAGAGTTAATAAATGAACGACCATTCGTTGAGTATTTTGACATTTATACAGTAGTGATTTTATGGGGAAATTTTAATACTGCGTTCGCTTCCATCATTCGCTGCTCATTTTGAAAAGTAAAAAGAAACTCGAACGAATAATTTGTTACTCAAATTATCAGGTCATCCCACATTGCAACATTGACTTTCTCCGAAATATTATGGGAATACTGCAAAACGAGTACATTTATTCTCCTTCTTCTATTATTATTACATGTAAGGTATCTGTTACTTGCTAAGAAGAAAATAGACATTTAAAATTACTAGAGCATATACAGTAAGCGATCATGGGGCACTCGGTACGACGTCAATCTTGGGTTGTTTGAGAACCGCAGTAAACTCGTAAACGACCGAGACCCAGGCGTTGCTTTAAGAGATAAAATATTGCATGCTTCGAAAAGGAGGAAAAGTATTGATATTTTCAAAAAACGGATTGACGGTAAACGAAATCAACATCATACTCTCTCCGCGTTTGATTTGTTTATCAATTGATCGATTAAAGATTGCATATATTAGTGATTAACAATGTACTGGAAATTTATCACAGTAAACTAATTTTATTGCAAACCTAGGGAAAAAGATGGAGAGAATAGGTAGTTTATTTGAATTGTATCAGTGCCATCAGTGAAGAGCAAAAATTGCTCGAATGTCATGCTCTGGACAGAATGATATCAATACTATTATTATAGAGTTTATTCAATAAATTAAGAGGCTCTCGTCTTGTCTCGAATTCTGTGATTTATTTTCAAACTGTGTGAACTAATCTTGTCATTTTAGAACCATTTTATTATGTCCGACTCCACCGTTCTAGCAGAAAAGATGCACCTGATCAACTTAATTTGAGGTCGACGAAGCCATTGTGTTCGCAACAAACGAAGTAACTTTCCAAGCTTTGAGAAAAATCATAACTGTATTTACTTTCGTACTACACCATGTTGACTGAACACAAGGTAAAAATTTAGAGTCAACTTGGCGCTGCGGCCTCTCATATTTGCCGTTTGCTACGAGAGAATTTCGGCTAATAGAAATACGTGTTGCAGGAAAAAATACACAAAAACGGAGGCTTGTAGAAGATTGTTAGAAATTCCTTAGGAAGCGCATCCTGTATGTCGGGTTTTTGAGTTGTTTTGATGAAACGTGAGTTTCTCAAATCAAATAGCCGGCCAAAAATGTGAAGTAATTTAGTTTCTGCTGGCTTCATCAAAGAAATCCTACAGACTTTCCCACTCATAACGAGATTCTGAACATAGAAATCCATTCTGAGGACGATCGGCCCAGAAAAACTCTAATAGTTTGAAGGTAAAAATAAAAAGTATGTTTTTTTAATTTATTGATTAAATGTAGTGCGGAACTTTGACAGCTTAAATGACACAGTGGAACTGAGTTTAGAAGTTCAGAGTTTTGAACTGCTTGACGCAGTTCATTCTAAAATTCTCATATCTACTCTTGTGTCCACCACAAAAATAAAAAATAAAAATAACGTTGTGTCCATCACCAAAAATCTAAAAAAATTCAAAAGATAAAATTAATAAGTTAGAATTGGTAAAAGTAACTGATCAGATAAAGAAAAATAAAATAATAATGAATGCTATTAAAAAACTCCGCTGTACTGACTTTCATAGTATCATCGCTCAAAAGAACATTTATTGAATAATAGGCGAGCTAAGTTTTTTCATTCAAGAAGAAAATATTTATTTATTATCGATGTAAATCAAACGACATAAAGATATCTGTTTTAAGAAATAATTTGATCTTGTCATCCATAGAATCAAAAAACATACAGGGATCATGAAAAAATATACATGCCGCAGAGAAAATCTTTGTTGGAAAATCCGAGCAACACGGAACATCCGCCAGTCGAGTCGAATTTGAGTCTCAGAAGCTTCTCAAAGAAATGGTCAGTAAGTCAAAGGCTTACTTCAACTTCCGGATGCCCAACACGTAATGAGTTTGCATTTTTCCATTGGCACTGAAGCCGCTTAGTGGGATGTTCTCGTTACCTTGCGTGTCTGTTTCTTGTCTCACTTCCAATCATTGTGCCAGTTGACTGTCTGTTGAACGTCGAACTTCCAATCATTGTGCCAGTTGACTGTCTGTTGCACGTCACACTTCCAATCTCACTTCCAATCATTGTGCCAGTTGACTGTCTGTTGCACGTCACACTTCCAATCATTGTGCCAGTTGACCGTGTTGCCCGTCACACTTTCAATCATTGAGCCACTTGACTGTCAGTTGCACGTCGCACTTCCAATCATTGTGCCAGTTGACTGTCTGTTGAACGTAAAACTTCCAATCATTGTGCCAGTTGACTGTCTTTTGCACGTCGCACTTCCAATCGTTGTGCCAGTTGACTGTCTGTTGAACGTAAAATCGTTGAACGCTTCCAATCGTTGTGCCAGTTGACTGTCTTTTGCACGTCACGCTTTCAATCGTTGTGCCAGTTCGCTTTTCGCTCGTCCTTGTCATGTGACGCCGGGTTAGGGAACGTGTCCTTTTTCTCCGGCATGTACTTCAAAAGTTTTGTTGTAGCCTCCCCTTGTCCAGAGAACTCGCAGACTAGAGTGGCTTCTGGTGCTGGTCTATAGGGAAAGACGTCTGCAGTTCACTGTTGAGTATGTCAGACACGCTGCCTGCGTAGCCAACTTTTCTATTCAACTTCCGGATTCCTCCTAAAAAAATTCTCTTGCGCTGGGGCCAATATCCTTTCCAGTCTCACGGAATTTTTCGCATGGTTTGTCATCCCAGGTTTTGATTGACTTAAAGTGTCAATCACCCTTGCATTTATCGTTGTACATTTATCGAGTTTATCATCCATTTTGAAGTTTAGAAAGAGTAAATCCGAACTGAAGTCGCGGTAAAAAAAGGTAAAAAAATTCGGAATTATTTAAACTGAAATAAACTGTTAATTTTGGCCATCTTACATTATTCAAAAAATAGAATCAAATATAAAAAATCACTAATATTAATGAACGAATTTTAGTTAGTACCAGCTGTCTATGGGTATCCATGATCAGCTACCCATTCAACACAAAATTTTCAAATTTGCGAAAATAAAATCAACTTATTTATTCGATCACATGTCCGAAAATTAGGAGTCGCCTCGCTTAAATTTAAATCATATATACAATATTATATTTTTAAAAGTTTGGTTGCTCTAAGACTGACACCACCGATATATAGGGGCTATTGGGGCATGTCAACGATGCTTATCGCGTCGGGATATTACCTAGAATTCTTATACCGGCCAACGCCGTCTTTGCTAGCTAATACTGTCTCAAAAGGTATATTCAATGCATTTTGTAATGAAATTCATCACTATTAAGCTAGGTTTGAAATTTCAAATCTATTTTCGGTGAAATAATATCTATCAACGCCATTTCTGAGTTAGCAGGTTTCCTTCTCTTCATAAAACTAAGCTCATGAGAGCACTTACGAAGTTACAATTTTGTTTTATAGTATAGTATAGTATAGTATAGTATAGTATAGTATGGTATAGTATGGTATAGTATAGTATAGTATAGTATAGTATAGTATAGTATAGTATAGTATAGTATAGTATAGTATATGTGTAGTGTAGTGTAGTGTAGTGTAGTGTAGTGTAGTGTAGTGTAGTGTAGTGTAGTGTAGTGTAGTGTAGTATAGCATAGTATAGTATAGCATAGTATAGTATAGTATAGTATAGTATAGTATAGTATAGCATAGTATAGTATAGTATAGTATAGTATAGTATAGCATAGTATAGCATAGTATAGTATAGTATAGTATAGTATAGTATAGTATAGCATAGTATAGTATAGTATAGTATAGTATAGTATAGTATAGTATAGTATAGTATAGTATAGTATAGTAGTGTCGGCCCTGAAGAAATAGCCCGGTCTGCATGGTAAAAATGTCGGACCTGTTGCTGTTTCATGTAGTTTTTATGACTTATTTACAGGAGATCTAAAAACAGGCCTTTTGACCAAATTTTGCCAAAATTGACGTTGGTTTGAAATATCTTTTACCAGGTCCGTAAGGTGCTATGCATTTCAAGACTGAACATATAAGACTTCTGATTTTTTTCTAATCTGTACTTTAAATCGTTCTAACTCAGAGCGTCTAAGTTATGGCAACATCAGTACGACACGATTACTGGTTCTTCCGTGGCCCACATCTCCTAGAATTAGGTTGATTATTCGTAACGAAAGTGATAAGCATTTAGTTTGTGATCGGGGAAAAGTGCATTTTGCTTCTATACATGATGTATTAGGCGTTTAAATATTCATCTTTATACAAATTACCGAAAAATCGCAGTAATGGTTCCATCAACCGGTGTTATCAATCCCATCAGTGACAGGAATCACACCAGCTGCGGGAATCATAGGTACCACTGACAGGAAACACCCCCGTGACAGGAATCACACCCGTGACAGGAATCATACCACTGACAGGAATCATACCCGTGACAGGAATCATACCACTGACNCCGTGACAGGAATCATACCCGATTTTTTTGCTGCATTTCTCTTGACGTAAAAGATATCCCGAATATCTGCTTTCAAAAAATCTCGGATTACGCCAGGTAAGGAAAGTTCCTTTGCATTCGGGAAATAATAATAATTGAGAATAAAAATAGTTCTTTTTATCCGGAAATTTTTTTATCAGGTTTCATGAATATTTCGATGTTATTTCCGGGAAAAAGAGGAACTTAATTAGCTGTCTTGACGTAAACCCAAATTTTTTCAAAAGTTGGTTAACTTGGTTTTCGGGGTATCTTTTACGGCATGTGACAGGTAGTCGATTTTTTCGGTAGCTACTTAATAGCAAAAATGCCCTCTCGTAATTTTACCAATCCGTCCAACTCTTATATATATTTTGTCATTCCGTCCAACTCTCGTATTTACCATTCTGACCAACTCGCGTATTTCGCCATTTCGTCTAAGTCTCGTATTTTCCGTCCGTCCAACTATCGTATTTTGCTATTCCGTAAACCATTTTGAAATTCAGTCCAACTCTCGTATTTTGCCATTCCGCCCAAATCTCGCATTTTGACATTCCGTCCACTTCTCGTATTTTTACCATTCCTGACAACTGGCGACTGGCGTAATGATCTTATTCTTAATTGTCAATGATGATTGTCGCTCCTGACTCTCGCATTATCACGCTATGATTGTCATTCATGCGAATTCCAGTATTGATTGACATTCGTATCATCGTATGGATTATGGTAATGATTGACATCCTTGTAAATTCCCCTAATGATAGTCGTTCTTTCCAACTCTCGTAATGATTGCTATTCCTGGTATCTCTCGTCATGATTGTCCTTCTTGCCAACTCTCGTCATGATTGTCATTCTTGCCAACTCTCGTCATGATTGTCATTCTTGCCAACTCTCGTCGTTCTTGTCTTTCTTGCCAACTCTCGTCGTTCTTGTCATTCTTGCCAACTTTAGTCGTTCTTGTCTTTCTTGCCAACTGTCGTCGTTCTTGTCATTCTTGCCAACTTTAGTCGTTCATGTCATTCTTGCCAACTCTCGTTCTTGTCATTCTTGCCAACTCTCGTCGTTCTTGTCATTCTTGCCAACTCTCGTCGTTCTTGTCATTCTTGCCAACTCTCGTCGTTCTTGTCATTCTTGCCAACTCTCGCAATTTTCGTTCATATTGTCAACTCATAATTCTTTCTGTTCTTGCCAACTCCCGTATTTCTTGACATTCCTGACTACTCTTCGTTATTTTGAAATAATTTAATCTTATAATATTTATCGAGTCATCAGTTTCATAATAAGATTCTAATAAAAAATAACTCGTCCCTGCTGATAATGAAGCATTAAGTTCTGGAATGGGTGTCCCGATTCTTGCGTAAATGTTTTCAATGTCCATTGGTGGCGCATATGTATGTTTAACATGCCTATGTATGTTAACATGACTAACAACATGTATGTTTTAATTGTTAGTCATATTCGAGCTCGGTATTGAAACGTTTAGTCTGCTGCCGCCAGTGGTATTATGTACAAATGACGATTAGATGGTGATATGAATAACCGCACAAATTATTTTCCTCGCAGTGTAAAAATGGATTTCAGAATGATTTTTCGAAAATTCATAGGGTATGCCGGGCTCCTTGGATCCGACGTATCATTTGAAAGGTTGATCCATGAAATACGGTTAGTTTCCGATCATTTCGTCCGGAAAATCGTCGATCCAGACACTGACCCAGGCGTCCAATACGTACTGAAAAAATTAACTCGTGATGAAATTCTAGAATTTCTGAGAGCCCTCAAACAAATAGTTGGAAGGCTTCTTGCGCTGCAGCCCTGGGTTTGGTCCAACAATCCCTCGAAGGCAGGCGAGATCATTGCCGACGTTGAGACCATGAGAATAGGTCTTTTAAAGCTATCGATTCTTTTCTCCGATTTCGAAGAACCGGTCAATGAAGAAAATAGAATATTTCGGCAAGAAATCGCCGGTTATGTTGATTATGTGATGTCGAATATCCAGAACATTATATTCAATGTCATTGAAAAATATGGACACTCAGTACTCTCCCAAGTGCCCGCATTCCAGCAGCCGGGTGCTTGGATGTCCTCCATTGCGTGCACGACAACTAATGTTCCCATCAGAGAACTGACATTCGAAGACTTCAGGAAGATGAAATCAGATGATCCGTTCATATATAAAATCCTCGAAAATCGGCCTGGTGACCTTTCCACGGTCATCAGAAGGTGCGAGATATGTAACAATAAAATCGATCGACCAGTGAACGTCATGATTGTTGATTGTTGCCGTCATCTGTACTGCAGGCGCTGCATGAGCAGCCTCAAACTGCCTATTAACACGTGAGTAAAGAAGCCTGCTGTCTTCTGTTTTTTTTTTACACTCGGGATTTATGCTGATTCAGATGACAATAAAAAATTCCCTCAAATGCTTCAAAAATACTTCAAGCAGGGTATCTAAGGGCATTTCTCATTTAAAACAATGATTATTTTCGAGATATGTCACCCGAAAGACCAGCAAAACTGGTATAAACATGTGTAGAATAGTTTTGCTGATCTCTCGGGCGATATATCTCGAAAATGATCATTGTTTTGAATGAGAGATGTCCTCAGATATCCTGCGTGAAGTATTTGTCCGAACAATTGTTTAAACTTGCTCTGTTCAATTTTTTTGAAGTTAGCATCCAAAGTGCCTTACATTCGCCGCACAATTCACTGGTTATACCTCAACCTCGAATATACAGTCCTCATTTGAGCAGAATTTAGCAGATTTATGACAAGCTGCCGCATCTTCCCTAACAATTTGAATTGGATTCCTTGAAACTTTTTATTGGTAACCTGAAAGGTGTGAATGAGTCGTTCATTTTATTTTCATACAGTCCGTCAATACGGACTTCCTTCAAACAGTTCAAGGATTATGTTAGGATTTATTACTGCTGAATAAATAGGATCTTAAAAGCGCATCTCACTGGCATGGGGGAATTTCTATCAGAGAGTAAAAGATCTCGCTTTCTCGAGGTGATGGCTGCCAGGGTCTTGATCGGGGTTGGCGTTCGCTAATAGGTTTTGTGTCGCGTGATCAAATTGTATGAAAATCGCCTATAATCAAGCGCTACGTTTTCTTGATTCAAAGATATGTTTGCCCCCAATACTTTCGATTAATATGAAACAAATTGTTTATTACTGTTTACTCTAACATAGAAAGAAAAAACTTTCACGCGGAAAGTAATGAATTGTATATATAGGAGTTCAGTTATGAAAAATACTCTGCAGGAAGCAGGAAACTGGAACAGGGACTCAAACCCTTATTATCTAATTTTCGTGTCAATTTACAGACTATGTATGAGCATTTGGTGCGGCCGCTTCATCACGTACAGCGCCTCTGAAGCGACCGTCGAAGCACGAACATCTTCGGAAGAATCAGGGACGGCTCCACAAGATGCAGGAGGTGCTCTGCAGGAAGTAAAATCGGCTGCTGAGGAAGTAAAAGATGCTATAGGTGAAGCTTTGCTTAGTCTACAGGAAGCAAGACCTACTCTGCAGGAAGCAGGAACTGCTCTGCAGAAAGCAGGACCTACTATGCAGAAAGCAGGACCTACTCTGCAGGAAGCAGGAACTACTCTGCAGATAGGAGGACCTACTCTGCAGAAAGCAGGAACTACTCTGCAGGAAGCAGGAACTACTCTGCAGGAAGCAGGAACTACTCTGCAGGAAGCAGGAACTACTCTGCAGGAAGCATGACCTGCTCTGCAGGAAGCAGGAACTGCTCTGCAGGAAGCAGGAACTACTCTGCAGGAAGCAGGAACTACTCTGCAGGAAGCAGGAACTACTCTGTATGATGCAGAAAATGCTCTGCTTGAAGCTGGAATGGTAATGCAGGAAGAAGAAATTTATCTGGAAGCAGCAGAAATGTCTCTGCAGGAAGCAGGAATTACTCCGCAAGAAGTTGGAACGGCTCTTCATCATGAAGCAGGATCTAATCCACAAGAAGCGAGATTTGCTCTGCATGAAGCAGGGAGTGCTCTGCAGGGAGCAGATCGGTGTCTGCAGGAAGCAAAAACTGCTCTGCAGGATGCTAAATATACTCTGCAGAATGCAGGAATTTGTCTGCAGGAAGCTGGATGTCATCTAGAGGATGCAAAATCTGCTCTGGAGGAAGCTGGAACTGCTCTGAAAAATGTTGGAACTGCTCCGCAGGAGGTAGAAGCTGCCCTGCAGGAAGCAGGAACTGCTCTGCAGGAAGCTGAATCTGCTCTGCAATGGTCAAACATTGATTTGAATGACGCAGGAGCTGATCTGCAGGAAGTAAAAACTGCCCTGGAGGAACTAGGAACTTCTGCGCAGGAAGCAGGAACTTCTGCGCAGGAAGCAGGAACTTCTGCGCAGGAAGCAGGAACTTCTGCGCAGGAAGCAGGAATTTCTGCGCAGGAAGCAGGAATTTCTGCGCAGGAAGCAGGAACTTCTGCGCAGGAAGCAGGAACTTCTGCGCAGGAAGCAGGAACTTCTGCCCAGGAAGCAGGACCTTCTGCGCAGGAAGCAGGAACTTCTGCGAAGGAAGCAGGAACTTCTGCGCAGGAAGCAACTACTAGTCTGCAGGAAGCAGGAGCCGGTCCGCAGGACGCTGGTGCCGATCCGCAGGAAGCAAGGGCTGGTTCGTATTAGACGTTATTACATTTGAATCTGCGTTCGCTTGATTGTCACAGCTTGAACATTTATTGCCTATCGTGTCAACGCTTAACTTTCGAGCAATAAAGAATACCAGAAAGCCTACAAGCAAAGTAAAGTTTTTAGGCTAGTTTGACAGCATTCCAATATTCATTTTTAATCAAGAATATTAAGAACGTTTTTTTACCAATAGTTACATTATTGTTACTAATTACGGTTTGAATCAATAAAATTTATCGATGTCATCGATGCAGGGCTGAGTTTGTTATCGAGAATGCTAATGAAACATTTCCCTGATTGAACTTATGACGCCCGATTTTGTCCTTACTCCCATGGTTCTTTTGTAACTTGGTAAGTAAGATTAACTATTCATATTGGTGTGCAAGTTAGTCTGTATAAAAGACTCGCCGTTTGCTCGAGTCCTCGGGTAAATTATGGGGCTGCTCATGAAGTGCCTAAGACTGGCTATACATTTTTGTAATCCAGCCTCTAATCTATCCCAGACATGTGCTAATATTATTAATTATATCTAATGCTAAGTAAGCTTTGTCGGTAATAACTAATTGTCAATAATTTGATAGGGAGAGTTCTCGGCATCTGATTCTTCTTATTAAATGATTTTTTTAATAATTCTGTCCTTTATTGCTACTTGGACTATTGAAAATTGACGTGGAGTTGTCAAGGGTCAACTTGGGTTTTGTCGAAGAGAAGTGAACGGGGAACTATACAGCAATAGAGTATATTTTTCAATGCACTGAATTTACATGCATATACAGGCAACAGCGTAGCACTTGGAGGCGGAAGAATACTTTTTGGAAGGAGAGACTTGAATGCATGGAGGATTTTTCACCGCTATCATCACACGAGGCAGATCTGTTCTCTCGACCAGAAATACCAACGAGCCACCCAGGTCTAGTCTTGGCTTTCCTCGCGAGCCCATAAATTTATTACCGTTCATTTAAAGTGTCGGCAGAAAGCCCTTGGTTACACTGCATTCCTCACCTAAAATTAGGTCTCGAGCCCTTGTGCATTACGATCTAAAGGCTATCGCTGCCAGCAAAAAAAAAAACTCTGCTAGGATAAGTCATTACGTAGCGAAGTAGAGACAGAATCGATGGTATTAAAATTTACTTGAATAATTTTAACGGCACGCATTAGCTGCGTTTTACAACACAGGCGCATTGTATAGGAAAGTCTATACGGACTGTCCTTTAATGACGGATATATAGGCACTACCAGGCGTGGAGCCTGCGGCTTAATTTGACTCAACACGGGTTAAAGCTCATGCGCTCTTCGCCAACGACTTCCTTGAATGCAGTTTTTTACTTAGTGAATGTTGAGCAATCTTGATCAGAAAGAGCTTACATTAATTTTTTTGTAATTTTACCACTAAAATTTTATTGTGACTACGTTAGTGACATGTGCTTAATATTTTTACGTAGGAGCTGCTTCATAATTTAAAATTGCTTACTCTCTAATTTAAAACATTACTTGAAAATCAATGCATCGATAAAAAATGAAATCTTTCTTATACTCCTATTCTAAAACAATAGTTTGGCTGTAGTAACTTCGGGAACTGAGTCGGGTTAAGAACTTCGTGTTCCGTGTGTTTATGAGTTACTTAGCCAGGCCATCCGTGTTCCGGCAAACCTGCACTAAAATAAATTAGATAAAATATGAGGCTCTCGTCCTGTAACGCCGTCGAGGACTTGCAGCGTCGTAAACTGAAAAGCGGTCTTCGCGAGCTGTAGGCTGAGGTCTCGATAAAGTCGAATTTTTGCCCTCAGTTGAAAACTTAATCTAGATGACGCAAGTTTGTCAACGGAAGCACAACGAGAACGTTGGAGCAGCCTTCGCCATCTTGCGCAATATATGAACTGAAGAAACTTTAAAATCGGGACAAAAATTGGCTTCGGAATGCGTTTCATTGTCGCCCTATGTACAGTTCTGAGCCAATGGACCAAAGAGACCAAAAATACCGGCCTAAAGCAGGCTTCTGCACTCAGCAATCTATAATACATATTGGGAATGACGATTCATCTAACACCACAAGGCATTGACGCCTGGCCTCCGAATTTTCATCATGTGGGTTGGTTACATTGAATCTCAGGGTTGTTTATTACGTTTGTATTATATCGTATATTTAATTATATTAGTTATTGTAGGAAGGGTTATCTTAGAGGGTGGTGAAATGAACTCTGCCTCTAAATTTCATTTAAACCAATCAACTGAACTAACTTCATCGCACATTAAATGAAATGACTTTATAACAGAAATGTATGTCTGCACCTTGAACATTGCCCACGTGACTCCTAGCGTGACGCTATAAACAGTGTGACGTGACACCTAGCGTGACGTTACAAACAGCGTGACGTGACACCTAGGGTGCCGTTGCAAACAGCGTGACGTGACACCTAGGGTGCCGTTACAAACAGCGTGACGTGACACGTAGCGTGACGTTACAAACAGCGTGACGTGACACGTAGCGTGACGTTACAGACAGCGTGACGTGACTCCTAGCGAGCTGATACAAACAGCGTGACGTGACTCCTAGCGTGCTGATACAAACGGCGTGACGTGACTCCTAGCGTGCCGTTACAAACAGCGTGATGTGACACATAGCGTTCCGTTACAAACAGCGTGACGTGACTCCTAGCGTGCCGTTACAAACAGCGTGACGTGACTCCTAGCGTGCCGTTACAAACAGCGTGACGTGACTCCTAACGTGCCGATACAAACAGCGTGACATGACATCTAGCGTGACGTGACACCTAGCGTGACGTGACATCTAGCGTGACGTGACATCTAGCGTGACGTGACACCTAGCGTGACGTGACATCTAGCGTGACGTGACACCTAGCGTGACGTGACATCTAGCGTGACGTGACATCTAGCGTGACGTGACATCTAGCGTGACGTGACATCTAGCGTGACGTGACATCTAGCGTGACGTGACATCTAGCGTGACGTGACATCTAGCGTGACGTGACATCTAGCGTGACGTGACATCTAGCGTGACGTGACATCTAGCGTGACGTGACATCTAGCGTGACGTGACATCTAGCGTGACGTGACATCTAGCGTGACGTGACATCTAGCGTGACGTGACATCTAGCGTGACGTGACATCTAGCGTGACGTGACATCTAGCGTGACGTGACATCTAGCGTGACGTGACATCTAGCGTGACGTGACATCTAGCGTGACGTGACATCTAGCGTGACGTGACATCTAGCGTGACGTGACATCTAGCGTGACGTGACATCTAGCGTGACGTGACATCTAGCGTGACGTGACATCTAGCGTGACGTGACATCTAGCGTGACGTGACATCTAGCGTGACGTGACATCTAGCGTGACGTGACATCTAGCGTGACGTGACATCTAGCGTGACGTGACATCTAGCGTGACGTGACATCTAGCGTGACGTGACATCTAGCGTGACGTGACATCTAGCGTGACGTGACATCTAGCGTGACGTGACATCTAGCGTGACGTGACATCTAGCGTGACGTGACATCTAGCGTGACGTGACATCTAGCGTGACGTGACACCTAGCGTGACGTGACACCTAGCGTGACGTGACACCTAGCGTGACGTGACACCTAGCGTGACGTGACACCTAGCGTGACGTGACACTTAGCGTGACGTTACAAACAGCGTGACGTGACACCTAGCGTGACGTGACACCTAGCGTGACGTGAGAAGCTGCAGCGTGATTCAAAGAGTGATGAACTCGAGGCAATTAATTTCACTCTCCGCTTGACCCAAAATTAACATGTTTTATCCATTCCTGGTAATCTCAGACTTTTAGTTGACTATTCCTTTATTTTTCCTTTATTTTAGTTGACTACTCTCTTCTTAACGATTTTCGATCGTCGAAGCACGAATAATTTTCATATTACTAACTGAACGTCAGTTCTCTCGAGTCCACGACCATTTTGAGTTTGCTCTCAACAGGGCCTGAAATTGGCAAGTATAAATTGCATGTCTCGTAACCATTTGTTGTACGGCGGCTGCTATCATACAAGCCAGGTAAAACTTCAGCCATACTTTACAGCCAAAGGCGAAGCGGCGATACATGCAAAACAGGTAATTTCTTTTCCTAGTCTTGTGAACTAACATCATATTTATCAATTAATTTCCCTACTTATGATGTCGAAGTCATCTTATTTGTTATTCTGCGAATCTTGTCATGAAAAAGTCGGTCTCGATGAAAACTTGTTATTTCAATTATTACAGAAGTTAACTCTCCTACAAAATATCCGACAAAATGCTTTCGCATTAGACATCACATCGGTAAAACAATTTATGTTCTATGTGTCTTATTAGGTTATCATTGATCAAATAGCAAACAGAAGGGTAGTCAACTGTAGCAACATGTGAAAAAAGCTAAACTAAAAGCTATTCAAATAAGTTAATTCAGATGGATTTATGGTTGCATATCTCCAGAAATTTTCCGAGGCCTTAATTTAGAATACTTCTGTCCGGTAGTTAAAAAATGAGAGTCTAGTAGCGAACATGGCTTACATTTATCATGCTCCAATAACCGGCTTCTGTAGACTTTCCACCAGACTATAGGAGGTACGGAGCTGGGAGATATTGTAGCTCGGCAGACACTCCTCGTTCGGCTAATGAACTGCATATTTGACCAAGGTTGTGTCGACCGACGCTATTGCTGCTGGAATTAAACCAGATCGCCATAAAGTGCAAATATTAATATGAAACGCTTCCCGAGCCGTTCATGGGATAGCTGAGTCCTACTGTTTAATAAAAAGTTTAACCTTAATGCCTGCAGTTTCAATTATTAATCAGGACGTATGCCGAATTTTTTCAACTTTCTACAACATTCTCTTTGAGTCTCACCACGCGCAGTGACTACTTAAAAATTGATACCTAATGCAAAAACTTGACTTTTAAAACAAAAGCAAACTTTAAACTTCAGGTTTCGTTCCTGTATGTTGTTTCATTTAGTCTAACATCGAATTTTCAAAGCTGAAACCAGGAGCAGATCCGATCTTTTCTGCAGGTGACGTGCCGAGGCCGCCGATTTCCACACAATTGCTCGACAAGGGATTTGTGGCCGAAGCTGACCACCGCTTTGGAAAAACAGGAATTTATTTACTCGGCATTTTAAAGATTCGAAGTTAATTAAAAGCTGGCTTTCATGGAGGCATTACTCGGTCCTTTCTATCGCGTGGTTTACGTCGCGATCGTAGCTCGCAAGGAGGTCAGCGCCTGGCTTCCCATTAGTCCCTTAAATGCAACAGATTCACTTACTTATTGTTCATTGCAGTAAAATATTTCTATCCGCTTGGTACCGATCAGGTACAAAGCTGAGAAGCCTCCCAGTGTACACACAAGAGTTTTGTTGATTTTTTAAAACTAATAATGCGTTAGGAAATATTTTGATTCACATCTGTCAAATGAAGTCTCCTCGATCAACAAAAATATGAGTTAAATGCGTCCTGTCTGTTAATATTATGGAAAGAACGACGCTTCTGACATGGCGCACGATATACGAGACCGTCCTTGTATCACAGATGAAAAATAATTAGCTGGAAATTGCATCGCTTTCTCATTTCTTTCGCTGTTTTCGCCTCTATATGGAAGCAGTAAATTTTAATTCATT